GACCTATACTATTTTTTCTTTTTGATTTTTTACCTGGATTACTGAGATGCATGTGCACATCTTGCTGGAGCATCTGTGACCAAGACAGCAAGTCTTTGTGATGTATCAAGAGCCACAGTATCCAGGGTAATGTCAGCATACCACCAAGAAGGACCAACCACATCCAACAGGATTAACTGTGGACACAAGAGGAAGCTGTCTGAAAGGGATGTTCGGGTGCTAACCCAGATTGTATCCAAAAAACATAAAACCATGGTTGCCCAAATCACAGCAGAATTAAATGTGTACCTCAACTCTCCTGTTTCCACCAGAACTGTCTGTCGGGAGTTCTACAGTGTCAATGGGCTGCTTTAGCCAAACCTTTGGTCACTCGTGCCAATGCCAAACGTCAGTTTCAATGGTGCAAGGAGTGTAAATCTTGGGCTGTGGAAAATGTAAAACATGTATTGTTCTCTGATGAGTCCACCTTTCCTTTTTTCCCCACATCTTGGAGGGTTACAGTGTGGAGAAGCCCGAAAGAAGCATACCACCCAGACTGTTRCATGCCCAGAGTAAAACATGGGGGTGGATCAGTGATGGTTTGGGCTGCCATATCATGGCATTCCCTTGGCCCAGTACTTGTGCTAGATGGGCACTGCCAAGGACTACCGAACCATTCTGGAGGACCATGTGCATCCATTGGTTCAAACATTGTATCCTGAAGGTGGTGCCTTGTATCAGGATGACAATGCACCAATACACACAGCTAGACTGGTGAAAGATCGGTTTGATGAACATGAAAGTGAAGTTGAACATCTACCATGGCCTGCACAGTCACCAGATCTAAATATTACTGAGCCACTTTAGGGTGTTTTGGAGGAGCGAGTCAGGAAACGTTTTCCTCCACCTGACCACTGTGCAGGACTTGTAGCTAAACGTCATTCCCAAGACAAATTGACAATGTATTGGCCGAAAAAGGAGGCCCTACACCATTCTAATAAATTATTGTGGTCTAAAACCATGTTTCAGTTTCATTGTCCAACCCCTGTATGAACTGTTCTCTGCGTGAGTCTGAACCTGAAACTATGATGCACCTGTTCACTGTCACAATACTGTCACCTTCTGGAAGGAAGCAAATCAGTTTATCCTCCTGACTCTGATTTCTGTTTAAGATGGTCCGAAGCTGTTCGGAGTCCATGGTGTTAAAAGTAAAAACAGAAAAAACCATAAATTTAATAATAATGTTAAGTAAATACCACATACACAAATTCAAGTTTAGTCACTCCACTCCCTCTTTTCTTGTGTTTAAAAAGGAGCCTGAACAATATGTTATAAGCATATCTGACTCTTTATGTTGTGTTTTTGTGTGAACTTTTCCCCCTGACTTTTGTTCATGTGTTCAAATGTATATTGATAACCATCCATCCATCCATCCATCCATCCATCCATCCATCCATCCATCCATCCATCCATCCATCCATCCATCCATCAGTTTCTTCTTTTCAGGGTCACTGGTGCCCATATCCAGCAGTCACAGTGTGAGGGGCAGGGTACACCCCGGACAGGTCGYATGATATTGACATTGATAACGGCCTTGTATTAATTTTGCTACTTTAATTGATAAAGAAAAAAAGTGGGATCAGTGGGGTGTGCCCCCTAGTGGAGGTGTGAGGTGTCACCATTTCTTTCTTCTTCTTTTTTTCTTGTCCTAAAAAAGTTGAAGACAGTCTAAAGAGTCCTTTATTCATCCATCTATATGCAGTGGGACAAAAAAACTCAATTCAATTAAATTTCAGTTCAGTTTATTTATTTTGTGCCAAGGCAATGTACACACACACACACACACACACACACACACACACAC